GCCCCTTTTGTTCTTTGGCTGCAGGCCTATCTGCTGGTACAGAGTGGACAGGCCAGTGGTCTCAGACTCCAAGGTTTCCAGAGCAGACAGAGGCCATATTGATAATGACAGCAGCCAGGGGTACAGGACATGGTGAGCTCATCTAACTCATTCAGTCCCTGGGACAGTCCAGTTCTGTTCCCATTGGTTGCACTGGGGTTTGAACTCAGGGCCTCGCACTTGCTAGGCAGGTGTTCCTACCACACCACCAGCCCTTATTGCACTGGTTAGTTCTGAGATGGGTCTCACTTTATATCTGGGGTCAGACTAGATGCAAGCCTCCTATTTGTACTTCCCCATGTAGCTGAGATAGCAGGCATGCAACACCCAGGCAGGCAGTGGTTGAGATGGTGTCTCATGTACTTTTTTGCCCCAGGTAGACTTGAACCACAATCTCAGTCTCCACAGTAGCTAGGGCTACAGGCACAAGTCACTGCACCAGATTTCCACTGATTTTTTTTTTTTTTTAACTTTTTGGTGCTGGGTTAGAACCTAAGGCCTCGTACTCACTCTACCACTAAGCTCCATCCTCAGCCCTATCAACCCCATTTTACAGAACAAGATCCTGAGGCCCAGAAATCCCAATCCATGCAGCCAAGTGTGGTGGATCAAAACCTGGGGCCTATCCACCTCACTAGCAAAATCTAAAGACCTTCCAGTGTTTTCTAGCACTGCAGAAATCTTGACAGCGTGTGAGATCTGATTTTTCCTCATTTGCAGTTCTCCCAACCAGGACCAGCAATCTGCAACCCACAGGGCTGGGCCTGACCTACCTGGCCATTCACATTTGGACCAGCATTCTTAGAAAATCCCCAAGGAAGAGGCAATGAGCCAAGCGACAGTGGCTCACACCTGTAATCCTACTTACTCAGGAAACAGAGATCAGGAGGATCACAGTTCGAAGCCATCCTGGGCAAATAGTTTGAGAGACCCTATCTCAAAAAAAAGCCATCACAAAAAAGGGCTGGTGGAGTGGCTCAGGGGGTAGGCCCTGAGATCAGACCCCAGTACCTCAAAAATAAATTAACAAATAAACGAACAAATAAGAGACAGGGTCTTGCTGTATTGCCCAGGCTGGCCCAGAGGGCTCAAGAGATCCTCCTGCCTCCCTAGTAGCTGGGACTACGGGCATTTGCTTCCCTGCCAAGCCAAAGCAACCACTTCCAGTTCACCATATCACTGCATCCTTACAACCTTTTTTTTTTTTTTTTTTTGGTGGTACTAGGGTTGAACTCAGGGCCTTAGCACTCTCCCTCCCACTTAAGTCACACCTCCAACATGGCTGGAGGGACCATCATCCAATTTTTAGGAGGTGAACCCAGGGCTGTGAGAGATCAAACAACCAGTGCGAGGTCACAAGGCAAATGAAACAGAGATGTGCAGATGCCCACCAGAAGCCTGGGCAGGAAGGAAGACACCCATGCAGAGGTGCCCACAGTCCAGTCTGAGTTGCAGGCCAAGCCCAGAGGCCAGCAGCTCCACGCCTTTCTGCCACAGCAGACAAAGAGCAATGTGTCAAGGGACAGAGTAGCAAAGGAGGAAATTCAGGCCACTGGGAGCAAAATCTTAGAGCCTTGGGAAGGCAGGGGCAAGGCTGGGCACCCAGCATGGTGGCTTTTCTGTGCCTCCTGGTTCATCTCTGCGGCGGCCCCCACTTGCTCATTCTTTGGATTCAAGATGTTAAACCAAGGAAAAGCTCAGTTGGAGATGGCCAGATGAATGTCACCCCTTAAGACAATAATAACAAGAATGATGACGACAGCAAGGAGGATGTTATCACTTGGCAGCCACGCCATCCCAAACGCAGCCCTTCCTGGAAGGGCAAAGTCGCCACCCATGTGGGAGGTAGAAAGGCACGAAGTGAGCGGGAAGGGAGGGGGAACCAATAGCCTCCTCGGTGGCAGCATGGACTATGGTCATTCGTTCACTTCCTGAATCCTAGAAACTACCAGAAAGTCGAATCTGCACACTGGACAGGTGGGGTAAACTGAGGCTTCTCACAGCTGCCTAGGGAAGGCTGTGTGCCAGCTCGTGCTGCTAATCCCTGACTAGGGCCAGATGCCCAGGTCCAGATCCCTAGGAGGCCCCCAATTTGCAAGCTGACCCCTGTGTTCAGAGACCCTGGGATACCCTGCTATGGACCAGAGAAAAATCTTAGAGAAAGTTCCTTCCAGAGTGCAGCTTCCAAATGAGAGGAGAGAGTTCAAGCTTTATCCTTCAGCTCCCTTCTTCCCTCCACACTCCTGTCACCTCCTGCCAAAGGGGTTGCCACAGACAGACAGGGGCTGACAGGGCAGTGATGGGCAGACACTAGGGCAGGCAGGCAGATGGATTCACTTGGAAGAGAGGAGCCAGCTTTCTGCAGGGACGGAGCAAAACAGTCAGTCTAGGCGACCAGACCACAGAGACCCCTGAGATCCAGCCGGTCTGATGGCAGAGTCCAGCCAGGGTAACGAAACAAGAGGCATCGCTAAATGTTAGTCTGTGAGGGGCACAGATGGGCGACCCGACGGCAGAGGTCACCCTGGACAGCTAGCCAGACAGCAGGGGGCTTCCGGGTGGATCTAGACAGATGGACAGCCAAATGGTGGTGGGAGACCTGTCCAGAACAGAAAGACAGCCAACCAAACGGCGGGGTCTGCACCAGATAAATGAATCGCCAGCCAGACCGCAGGAGTCTATCTAGGAGGCAGGTTTTCGCTCCTGCTAGACCGACAGAGGAGTAGGGGATCCCATCTATCCCTGACTCACAGGCAAACAGATGTCAGAGTTCACCCACTTAAGTTGGAACTACAAGCAACACAGGGTCCACTGCATCTCTGGGCCTCTGCCACCCAACTGGAGAGACCACTCCGGGTCCCAGCCTCTGCATGGAGCCCTCCGCCCAGGGCGTCCCACAGGGCCCGCCTCCCTGTCCCTGTCCCCGTCGCCGGCACGCAAGCGCCGCAGTTACGCCGGCAGCGCAGGGCGCGCCATTCCCGGTCCGCCCTCCGCGCCCTAGGCCGCCGCCCGCCCCTAGACCTCGCCGCGCTCGCTCACCGGCCCACGAAGTTCTCGAGCACCGAGCTCTTGCCGGCGCTCTGACCGCCCACTACTGCGATCTGCGGCAGGTCCAGGTGGCAGCTCTGGCCGATGGAGCTGAAGGCGTCCTGCAGCTTGTTGACCAGCGGAATCAGCTCTTCCATCCCGCGGTTGCCCATGGCGCCGGCAGCCCCGGCCCGAGCGCCCCGCGCTCGCCGCCCGCCCCCGACCTTCTCCTCAACGACCCTGCCCCGAGGCGTCCGTGGCCGTTGCTCCCCGCCCGCCCGGGCCTCGGCGCGACGCCCGCTCCCGGCTCGGCCTCACGGTCGCCGCCTCATCCGGTTCTCAGGCGACTCCCGACCGGAGCGACCTCCCGCCTGGGCTCTGGGGCTGCACCCAAAACCCTCGCGCCGCCTCGGATTGGTAGACTAGGCTGCCACTCGTACACCCAAGCCAATGAAACCAAGGCACTGGCCTGTCGCTGAGTAAGCCTTCCCCCTGGGTACCGTTTCTCGAGCTAATTGGGTACAAGAACTGTCACTATTGCGTAAGAGCCAATAGGAATGGAAAGGGAGTTGTCAAGGCCGGGAGGCGGTGTTTCGGAAAAAGACATGATAGCTCCGCCCACTAAGGGGATTCGCGGTCTTATTGGTAGAAAGAACTGCCAGTCAGCAAAGATGGCCAATGAAATTAGAAATCGATCCTTAAACATTGGTTTGTCACTTGACGCTACCTAGTTCCCTAAAAATTTTCCATTGGCCTACATAAATATCACTTCGTTCCTCCAGCCAATAAGGAGGTAGAGGGTGAGCTATAGCATACCAATCTCTACTCCGATTGAGAACTATGTCTGTCAATCAAAGAAACTCATTCTAAATGGTGATAATTGTACATTCATTACAGTTCTCTGGAGTAGAGGCTAAGACCCGCCGCACTCGCTGAAGGGCGACACCTTGTGGCTGGATCTCGTGATTGTCACTTCTGAGCTTTAGGATTCTACAAGAAAACAAGTCCTAGTATGCATCTTAGCTGCCAGCCTACAAGAGGGCTCTGGGAATAGGGTCCCAATATGCTCTATGAATCACACAACATTCGTGTTTCCTAGAGAGAGAAGGCTATAAAAGAGCCTTGGCCTGTGGCTGCAGCTCAGTGGTAGAATACTTGCCTAACATGGTCGAAGCACACACACACATAGAAAAAAACTACAATGTATGCACCCGCCAGATCACACCTATTATCTACATTGCCTTTACGGACAGATATATTGAGCCACGAGTCTACACTCAACACTATGCAATAGCAAAAAAGGCAAGCTGCCACTTCCTTGATGTTGACCTTGGGCAAGCTACTTCCCCTCCTTGGAACTGTCTACAAGCTCACTCCCAGGGTGGCTGGGGTGCCTGGGCCACAGGAAGAAAGGTGCCAGCTCCCACTATGAGGGCGCATCAGACATGGTGATTTCCAGTTTGCAGCCGCTTCTATGGTTACTTCTCTTTAAAATTTCTTTTGACGGTGTTGGGAATATCAAACCCAGAGCCTCAACATTCTATACACACAGTCTACCGGAGGTCACCCCAAAGCCCCAATGATGGTTACGTTTAGGTGTGTGTGATACCAGAGACTGAACCCAGAGCCTTGCGCCCACTTGCCCCCAGTCTTTTTGTTTGTGCTGTTTTTCAGACAGCATCTTGCTAACTTTGCCCTGTCTGGCTCCAACTTGCAATCCTCCTGCCTTGACCTCCCGAGTAGCTGGGATTACAGGTATGCCTGACAACGCCCCGACTCTATGGTTATTTCTTATTATCACTGGAGGGGAAATACCCAACTGCAGTAACGCTCAGACCAGGAATGGACATCAGATAGGCCACTTCCCCAAGAAAACAGACACGGGCTACATTAGAATTTTTTTTTAAAAAGTCTTTAAAAAAAAAATCCCTTATCTCTCCCAGTCCCCAACCTCTGATCAGCTCAATGTGATTCCCACAGAGGCCAGGGCTTCGGTGGCCCAGGTGGGACAGAAAGTGTGGTCCCCGTACATGGTGCGCATGAAGTTCCGCACGAAGTCGGGGAAGCGCTGCTCCACGATGCTCGCCCGCACCGCACTCATCAGCTGCAGCTGTGGGAAGGGGCGCTAGCATTGGCCACAGGCACCAGGAGCCCCGCCCCCGCGAGCCCCGCCCCCGCGAGCCCCGCCGCCTGGCCTGGCCCACCTGGTAGGCGATGTTGTGGATGGTGAGGTGGTGCAGGGCCGCTGTGTTGTCGCTGTGCAGCAGCGCGTGCAGGAAGGCGCGGCTGTGCCTGTGGGTGAGCGGATGTCAGCTGAGCTGAGCCCGGCCCTGCCCACCTCCAGCCCCCCACTTCCTCACCTACTTCCGGCAGGTGGGGCAGGTGCACTCAGGGTCTATGGGGCCAAAGTCTTTCGCGTACTGCTTCTTCTTCAGCTGCAGGTTCCCGGTGGGTACCAGGGCGGAGCCGAAGCGCTGGGAACCAAGACGGACAGGGTAGGGATGGTCATCTATCCCCGTGCCCGGAGCCCTCTCCCTTCCCCCCTCTCCACACATCAATTTTCCCATCCCCTGCTCCCCGTCCAGGACCTCACCGCTGTCCGTGTGGGGTACACGCAGTCGAACATGTCGCATCCAAGAGCCACGCAGACCACCAGATCGGTGGCATAGCTGATGGGGGACAAGGGGCAGGGTGCAGTGATGGGAGAAGGGGAGCAGATAACCATTCAGAGCCACCCCTGGGAAGGGGATAGTCATTTCCTCCTTAGTCCAACATCAGTAGGGCTGTATCCTTCTCCCACATCCCCCTCCCCCACTCTTCTCCCTCTTCCCCGGGAGGGCCAGGGTGGCCAAGAATGGGGCTGTCTCCCCTGTCCCCAACATACCCGACCCCCATCAGGTATCGGGGCTTGTCCTTAGGCAGCTTAGAGGTGCTCAGCGCCACCATCTTCCAGAACTGGGCCTTGCTTTCACCCCCACTCAGACCCCCGATGGCAAAGCCTGGCACATCCCTCTTGGTCATCTCTGAGGGTACAGAAGGTCCCCAAGTTACAAAGGCTGGACTTCCAATTTTCCAACTTTACAAAGGGGGTGAGCACAGCCTTATAGCCATTCTGCTTTTACTGCACAGTGGTCAATAAATCCCATGAGACAGCCAGTGCTTTATTATAAAACAGGCTTTCAGTTGAGCATAGTGGCCACACCTGTAATCCCAGCACTCCAGAGGTAGAGGCAGAAGGATCACGAGTTGGAGGCCAGCCTGGGCTACATAACAAACATTTTTTTTAAAATTAAAAATTCGGTTTTGGCCAGGTGCCAGTGGCTCACACCTGCATTCCTAGCTGATCAGGAGGATCGATCGCTATTCAAAGCCAGCCTGAGCAAATAGTTTGAGAGACCCTATGTCGAAAACACCCTTCACAAAAAAAGGGGGGGGGGGAGCTGGTGGAGTGGCTCAAGGTGTAGGCCTGAGTTCAAACTCCAGTACTGTAAAAGAAAAAAAAAAACAGTTTTGTGTGAGATGCTTTCATCCAAGCATAGGTTAGTGGGTGTAAGGCAGGCGAGGCTGAGCTAGGTGTCTGGCAGCTTAGCTGTAGTCGGTGCATTTCAATTTACACCATTTTCAACTGATGATGGGTTTATGGGGGTGCAACCTCACTGTGACAGATGAGGAACATCTGGTGAAGAGTAAAGACCCTGAGAGGAGACAGAGGAGAGGGAAAGATGGAAAGAATGAGGAGAGACAGGAAGGGAGTCTATCTGAGGATGAGAGAGGAATAGAATGGTGGAAAAATAGACCACTATTGAGTACCTGCTGTATACAAAGCCTGAGTCTTCAATTCTCAGGAGATGCCCACACTCCCATGGCTGAAACCTTGGGTGCCAGATGTGCTTGACAACCCAGAATTTTCCCACTTTTAGAATGGAAACCACTCCACATGCTGAGTAACACCCCATCATCAGAAACTGCAATGCTTCTCCTTTTCTTTGTTTCTTTTAATCATGTATTTAATTATTTATATTAATTTCTGCAGTGCTGGGGAGGGGCCGCAGGGCCTTGCCACATGCTAGGCAAGCCATCAAGTGTGATGCATAATGATATAGGTCTCGTTTAGTCACCAAAGGAATTGTCAAGGTTCAAAGCATTTTGGTTTTCAATTTGGGCCAGAGGCCCCCAGAATGGCAGTGCTGGGCTGCAGACTTCTAAAGTCGCCCCTCAGTATCTATGGCTAATGGGTTCTAGGACCCCCTCAGATACCAGAATCCCCGGATGCTTGAGTCCGTGTAGGAACCTGCACACGGCCAACCATAGTCTTTCCTAACACCTGATACGATGTGTAAGATGACAGAGGGCTGAGAATGTAGCTCAGTGTGACAGTGCTTACCTAGCAAGCCTGAGGCCCTGGGACCCCTCTCCAGAACCAATACATAAACTCATTAAATAAGTAAATACGAATATGTAAATAACTGTTTAAAGAATAATGAAAAGGAAAAAAAGTCTGTACGTGCTCAGTACAGATGCAACTTTTGTTTTAGTTTTGGGTTTTTTTGAAGGGACTGGGACAGAACCCAGGATCTCTCACTGGCAAGCGCTCTAACACTTGAACCACTGCCTCCAGTCCTTTTGCTTTTAGCTTATTTTTCAGATAGGGTCTCACACTATTTTTTTTGGGGGGGTGAAGGGGCAGAAATGGGGTTTGAACTCAGGGCCTCACACATGCTAGGCAGGTACCTTACATCCTGAGCCAGGACCCCAGTGCTTTTGCTATAGTTATTTTTCAGATAGGATTTCGTGGTTTTTGTCCTCTGGACTGGACATGATCCTCCTGATCTCTGCCTCCTGAGTAGCTGGGATTACAGAGGTGTGCTACCACACCCGGCTCATATATATAGATATATATATATATCATAGATATATATATATCTAGGTGTGTGTGTGTGTTTTGGCAATAGTCGGGTTTGAACTCAGGGCCTCAGGCTAGGTAGGCAGGTGCTCTACTGAATTTTGTTTTTTGAATTTTTTATTAACAGTTAGTTGCATCTGCAGACACAAAACCCACAGATTTAGAGAGTCAACTGTATTATTGTTCACCTTGCCTGACAGATGAGGAAACTTGAGGCTGTAAAGCTTAAATCACTGGCCCCAGACCACATATGCCACAGCTGGATTCAATTTCAGGCCTGGACTCCAAGCCCAGGTTCATCTCAGGGTCCAGCTGCGCAGTTCAAAGCAGCTGAGGTCCCAGCATCCATAAGGTCAAAAGTAGGTGCTGTCTGGGCCTAGTTAGTGTGAGCAGCAGAACACACAGCGGGTGGGTGGCTTAAATGCAGGATCCTAGCCCTAGCCCTTCCCCAGCCCAGTTGTGATCCAGTCACTGGAGAGAGCCCACAAGGCTGCACTACCAGCCCCAGCCCATTGCTTTGCTGCAGCTGTGCCTCCAACAAGCTGAAAAGAGCCACCAGGGTGGGTTGAGTGGCAGGTGGCCAAAAAATGAATTTTCTGGTGTGCGAACCACCCTGTAGTTGTTTTTTTGTTTTAATGAAAGGGATCGGATCTGAACGCTGGTCTTGGTGGTCGTAAAAGGAGGGAAAGTGATACTGAGCTGGCCTCACAGCATTGCAGCCTGGCATTTTAGCGTGTGGGCGAGTTTCAAACAGGACTGACTTCTCTCTGAATTTCTTTCCTCCTTTCCAGGAAAATGGGGATAATCTGAAGGCACGAACATGCAGCTGGGTGGCTAATGTAGTGATTACTGACTAATATAATAACTGTATTGGGGAGTTTTCTTAGATAAGTGTCTTTCTCATATTATAGATCTAGTAAAGACAGCAAAGCTGTCTCATGGGATACTGGTCTACAGAGTTGGCAGGGGAGGAGACAGGCGAGAAAAGACAAGTAGAGAACATAAAGCGCTACAAACAACCTTTTGCTAAAGCTGTTTCTGGTATACACCTGTAAATATAGGTGATCACTAAAAGCCTTTGCAAGTGTTAAAAAATAAGTAAATAAATATCAGAAAGCACCCATGTATTAAAGTAATACTTCGCCAAGCCTTGGTTTCCGTTTTCATAAACATCCATACTTGCTAAGCCATGCCATGAGCTGGATCTCTGAGTAGGAAGGAGGTCTCTCTCTCTCTATTTTTTTTTTTTTCTTTTTTTGTGGTGTTGGGGTTTGAACTCAGGGCCTACACCTTGAGCCACTCCACCAGCCCTTTTTTCTGTGAAGGGTTTTTTTAAGATAGGGTCTCACTATTTGCCTGGGCTGGCTTTGAACTGCAGTTCTCCTGATCTCTGCCTCCTGATTAGCTAGGATTATAAATGGGAGCCACTGGCGCCTGACCTGAAGGTCTCTCTTAAATAGTCTTACTAGACCAGGAAGGAGGGCAGGAGGGTTGAGGAAAAAGACTGTTTTCTTTCTTAGTTTTGGAAAGGAGTTACTGGGAATTGAACTCACGCATCATGCTTGCTTCCAGGTGAGCCACGCCCCCAGGCCATTTTTTTTCTTTTTTCAGACAGGGTCTCACTATGCAGCCCAGGCTGGCAAACTCTCCATCCTGCTGCCTCCATCTCCTAAGTAGCCAGGATTACAGGCTTGCACCGCCATCCACACCCAGGCCAGGACCATCGTCATAACCGCACAATGCTGATGCCAGTAAGAGGCAGGACATTTGAACAGATCTTCCATTCAATCTGTGCCTCCACTCCTTGACACTGGAGCAGGTCCCCATTTTGCACAGGAAAAGAGTGAGGCTCAGAGAAGTGAAGACACTGGCCCAGGACGCACAGCCACAAAGCAGAAAATCAAGAGTTGGGTCAGACAGCGTTGAGCACCAGAGCGTGCTCAGGACGGCACCCTGTTCTGAGCAGTGCTCACTTTGCCTCCCCTTCATTTCCATGGTCATGACCAACACACCTTTCTCCTGGGCAAGGCAATGGGCCTCCCGCCTCCTGGACATACCCCCGAAATTGTTCTACGATGCCCCTTGATTCTGGTCACTCTCCCGTTCCACAGCTGTATGGCTCCCCAGTACAGCAGGACCTCCATCACTGTCACAATGCCCCAGGCCTGGCCTTTCCCTCCTGACCCGGCATATCCCACTTCTCAGGGCAAGAACCGCACAGCATAGCAGTTAATACTGAAGGCTCTGCAGCTCCAAATCCCACCTCTCCAACACACAAGCTGTGCGACTTCAGGTAAGTGACATAATAGCTCTGTGCCTGTTTTCCCATCTGTAACCTCAGGAACCAGTTAGTTCCCACCTTACAGGATGTCTATCAAGACTCAAAAGGTCGATCTGGGACCAGGATTTGGCACGGGTGCCCAGTGAGTACCTAAACACCATTAGGGATGGGAAATACTCTCTAAACACATTCAGCTGAGTTTGCTGCCTCAGGACCTTTGCCTCAGCTGTTCCTTTTTACCCTTTCACAAGCACTGTCTGAGTAGCGTCCTGTGCCTGCCCTCTGAGATGAGCTCAGCACTGGACAACCCCTAGTCCTGCCATCGCATTGCTCTCTACCTTCTAGGCAAGTGGTCCGGAGGTCCGTGTCCAGCCCGCCCTGGATGATGGCAAACAGGTTCTGCTTATCGGTTTGCCGGTGGGCAGCAATGCACCGGTCCAGCCAGCGGATTGATCTGTAAGAGGGTTGTGTCGTGAGCCCTAGGGGCTGGGCAGAAGGGAGGGGGACGAAGCAGCAGGACCCAGTTGCCCTCTCCCGACACGAGTGTGCACCTGTGCATGGCCTCCTCCACACGAGGGCCCGTCACAGTGCTGCTGACCACATCATCCAGCTGCATCATGATGTCTGAGCCTGAGGGGGAGATAGGACACTGTCACTGCAACGTCCCCACCTCTTATTGGGGACAGGATAGACTTCAAGAGCCTCTGTGGGAAATGACTGAATCCCAGGCAGCCATCTTAAACAGTTTATACAGCAGTCTCAGGAAGCTCTTTTTTTTTTTTTTTTTTTTTTTTAAAGAGATGTGGTCTTACTCTGTAACCCAGGCTGGCCTTGAGCTCACAACCCCTCAGCCTCCCAAGTGCTAGGATTTCAGGGTGGGGCACCACCCTACCTGGCTTAGAAGAACTTTTGGAAATGTACATCTGATCTTGTCTCCCCCAGCATAAAATCCTTATCCCATCACATAAACTAAAATCCCAAGATACACAAAGTGACTCCTCACTGGGAGGTGTGTGGTCAAGACAGGGAAACCAAGCATCTGTTAACCAGGGTGTCCTAAAATAAACTGTGGTCAATACCCTAACGGAGGGGGAGGGTTTCCTTCCTGCAATTCCAAAATCCAGAGACCTCTCAAAGTCAAATGCTTTCATGGGCTGGGGTTGTGGTTCAGTGGCAGAGCACGTACTTCGAGTGAATGAAGCCCTGAGGTCCATCTCCAGCATCAACTAAAAAAAATGTAAAACTACATACTGCTGTGTATAGTGGTGCACACCTGTAATCCCAGCACTCAAGAGTAAGAGAAAGGAGGACTCTGTATTCCAGGCCAGATTAGCCTACATAGCCTCAAAATATAGTCTCAAAACAGGCAAGATTGGGCTTGTACAGAGGTGTGGCTATAGACACAGTCTCTAAACAGACAGAAAGAGAGAGAAATAGAAAACAAAGAGAAAAAAGAAGTCAAAAGCTGTTTTTTAGAAAAGATCAACAGTGTCAAAATCAATTAACCCTGCTAGATAGATCATAAATTATCCGTATAAGCCAGGCACCAGTGGCTCACACCTGTAATCCTAGCTACTCAGGAGGCAGAGATGAGGAGGATCGAGGTTCAAAGCCAGCCCAAGCTTCCAGAGACCTTATCTCGAAAAAAAAAAAAAAAAATCACAAAAAAGGGCTCAAGCAGTAGAGCAACTGCCTAGCAAGCTTGGGCTTGAGGTCCTGAGTTCAAACCCCAGTACCACCAAAAAAAGTAAAAACAAAACCAGACAGAGTAGCTCACACCCATAATTCCAGCTACTGGCAAGGCAGAGATTGGGAGGATAGAGGTTCCAGACAAGGTGGTGCAAAAATTTCCTAAGACCTCAACCAATAAAAACTGGGCATGGTGGCACACCCCTGTCTTCAAAGCTATGTGGGAAGCATAAACAGGAGGATCAAGGTACAGGCTGTCAAGGGCATGAACTTCAGAACCTATTGGAAAAATAACTGAAGCAAAAGGGCTGCAGGTGTAGCTCAAGTGGTAGCATGCACAAGGCCCTGAGCTCAAACCTCAATAGTTTCCCTCCCCACAAAAAGATAAAGATGAGGGGAATTGGTGAACTGATGTGGTGGTGCACACCTGTAATCCCAGAATTTAGGAAATTGACATAGGATGATTTGGAGTTCAAAATTAGCCTAGGTTTACATAGAAGAGTTGGGGATACTGCTGGAGATAAAGAACCCCAAGCTTCCCCATCTCCTCTGTGTTGTCACTATTTAACTTGTCATTAAAAGAAATAACAGGAGCTGCAGGCGTGGTTTAAGCAGTTGGGCACCTGCCTTCCAAGTGCAAAGCCCTGAGTTCAGATCCCACTACTACAAAAAAAAAAAAAAAAACCTAGATTCACACCTGTAATCCTGGCAAATTGGGAGGCTGTGATTGGGAGGATCATGGTTTGACGCCAGCCTGGGGAAATAGTCTGAGAAACCCCATCTCTAAAATAACCAGGGCAAAATGGACTAGGGGTGCGGCTCAAGCAATCAAGCACCTGATTTGTAAGTGCTAAGCCAGTCCCAACCAAAAATAATAACAGAAATAATTATAATAATAGAGGCACCTCCACACTGCGCTGGGATCTGCCGACATTACTTCATTTATTCTTGTCAACAGTTCTGCCAAGGGCGTGTTCGTTCCACTGAAGCTCAGGGAGGGCGAGTGACTTGCCCAAGCCGCCCAGCAAGGCCAGCGCCACCTACACCCCTACAGGCAGGTGAACGGGCGGCTCCCCCCGCCCCGCTCACCCAGCGCGTTCTGGATCTCCACGGACCTCTCCGGGCTCAGAAGGGTCTCATCGCCGTCATAGGGGGAGCGGAAGCGGACGCCCTCCTCCGTCACCTCGGACAGGGCCACCAGGGACACCATCTGGAAGCCGCCGCTGTCCTGGGGGAAGCCCCACGGCAGGGCTGTCAGGGGTGGTGGTGGAGGACTCACCCCAGAGAGGGCATCCTTGGGTCCCGACCCCATCCACTCACCGTCAGCAGATTGTGGGGCCAGTTCATGAAGCCGTGGAGACCGTGGGCTTTCTGGATCAGCTCAGGGCCCTGGGATGGAGGAAGAAAGTGTCTGCTTGCAGGTAAGCCCAACTCTGGTGGCCTGTGTTTGGGGACATCTCAGGTCCCCGCAGCTCTTTCATGCCCACCGCAAGGCCTGGGCAACCGGGACGCGTTCGTTGATTGACTTTTGGTGGTGTGTCCAAGCTGGGTAATGCCAGAGGGCTTCACGCCCCCTGCCAACCTCCCGAGCGCGAGTTCACTCACCGGCCTCAGACCCAGATGGTAGGTGTTGCCCAAACAGATGCGGCAGCCCAGGTCGTCCAGCTGCTCGGCTGTGATACCCTTCATGGTGGCCTGCGTGCCCACTGGCATGAACACTGGAGTGGACACCGTTCCGTGCGGTAGCCGCAGTTCGCCTGCTCGGGCCCTGGACCGACTGCATTCGGCCACTAGCCGCATTATCCGCGGAGCCGACTCCAGGGAAGTTGGAGTGGCCGCGGCCGCCGCCATCTTGACTGCGCGAACCACGTGAGGCAAGGAGCACCGTGGGCAGCGCCATACTGGCAGCGATCACGTGGTGCGCGGGGCGGGGCCGAAATCCAGGAGCGCGTCGGGGGACCATGGCAACCGACGCCTACGCGCAGGTCGCTGCTGGATGCAGCTTGCGCTCCCTGCAGCCGCAAGCTAACTGGAAGAATTGGAATTGTAGGTACAAATCCCATCCGTGCCACTTTTCGCTCTATAGTCAAAACTTCTCTGAGCCATATTTTTCCCCTTTATAAAGTATGGCGAATTATAGTATCTCGGATTAAGACTGAATGAAGATAGATGTAGACGTGAGAGCCTGATCCTCGCTTTGGTCTTGTTCATACTTTTAACGTGCGAGCTTGGAACAGGACCTAGTATGTAGCAAGTACTCAATAAAAAAAAACTTATTCAATAAAAGAAGGAATCCCAGATTTAAAAAGGAGAGAGCTGCCGGCGCCAGTGGCTCACGCCTGTAATCCTAGCTACTCAGAGGGCAGAGATCAGGAGGATCGTGGTTCGAGGACAGCCAGGGAAGATAGTTCGCAAGACCCTATCTCGAAAAAAGCTCATCACAAAAAGGGCTGGAGGAGTGGCTCAAGATGTAGGCCCTGAATTCAAATCCTAGTGCCGCAAAAAAAAGAGCTAATGCGCAGAACCTGTCCGCATTTATTCACTCACTCAGTGTACAACTATGTATTTTCCCCACTCTGCCGGACTTCAGGCCGCACAGAAGTGAGGGAGGCTGGCTGAGTCGCGGATTTATTGAGCGCTGTTATGTGTTGCATAAACGCTGTTGTTGGAAGTGGAGCTGATATCTTAGCGGCCAGCAGAGAGCGCCATTGTCCCGAGACACTTCCAAGGAGATCTCAGCTTCCTAAATCGGGCTGCTCCAGGGCAAGACCATCTCTCTGGAAGTCTTAAAACTTCTTATCTTTTGACAAAGGCTAAAGATGCCAGTTTCTCAGGATGGTGAAGCTTCACCAGTGCAGCAGCAAGGCTTCCAAATCTTCACCCCGGACTGGTTGTGGAGCTCAGGTTGTGCAAGGCTCTGGGTTCCCACCACAGCACTCCATACACACACCCAAGGAGATGCAACTCAGGGTCTCTGCACTTGCTGTGGCCTGTCTGAAATACTCATTCTCTCTGAGTTTCCTATGCATAGCTTGTGATTGTGACACCTCCATCACTATGTCACATCATTTATAATTAATGTGCTTTTAAATACTTGTGTACATTGACAATGCTCTTTTTGTTTTTGAATGCTACTGGGGATTGAACCCAGGGCCTCCTGCTTGCTACGCAGGTGCTCTACCACCTGAGCCATACCTCCAACCCTATTGTGGGTTTTTTTTTTTTTTTTTTGGTGGGACTAGGATTTGAACCCAGGGCTTTGCACTTGCAAAGCAGGTGCTCTACTGCAAAAGCCACACCTCCACACCCCCTTGTTGTGTTTTTTGAGACAGTGTCCCACTAACTTTTTCCTAAACTGGCCTAGAACTCTCCATCCTTCTGCCTCTGTCAATGAACCACGGCCAGATCTGACAGTGCCTAAATTTCTATCCTCAGCCCAGAACTCTCTGAACTCCTGACACCTTTGCAGATGACTCCTTGACCTCTCTTCTGGTTGTCTTTAAGCATCCAAATGTTGTATGTCTGAAGCAGGGCCTCTGATTGTCCCCTGGACTTTAGCTCACCCTCCATCACACACATCTTTAGTTCAGGACTCAAACTTCAGGATGGTCCTTGACTTCTCACTGTCTTTCACTCTCTATATCTCGCTTGTTGGAAATTCCTGGCAGCTCTGTTTTCAAAATGTATTTACAATTAATCACTTCACACCTCCTCCATAGTCTTCATTCTAGTCCAACCACCAACATGTCTTGCCTGGACCATTGCAGTAGTCTTGTCACTGCTCTTTAATCCCTATACTATATATAATACATATTTTTACATATATATATATGTACTTTTTTTTTTTGCGACACTGGGGTTTTGAACTCAGGGCCTACACCTTGAGCCACTCCACCAACTCTTCCATTTTTGTGAAGGGTTTTTCAAGAGTCTTGTGAACTATTTGCCCAGGCTGACTTTGAACCTCAATCCTCCTGATCTCTGCCTCCTGAGTAGCTAGGATTACAGGTGTGAGCCACTGGCACCCAGGTCCCTATACTATATTCTTGATGACATTTTTTTTTTCTTTTTTTGAGACAAGGTCTCCCTATGGAGTCCAGGCTGGCCTCAAACTCGCAATTCTTCTGCCTCAGCATTGGAAGTACTGGGATTACAGTCATGCTCCACCACACCCAGTTTGATGACATTTTAAAGGAAGTGCTTTCAACATTTCACTCTTTGTTATTAAGGAAGATTTTTAAATTTTTATTGATTCCAACAATCTTTGCCTTTTACTGTCTAGTCCCTTTTTTTGACACAGGATCTATGTATCCCAGGCTGGCCTCCAACTTGTGATCCTCTCAAATGCTGGAATTCCAGCTACAGATGTGGGACCTTGATTCATTTCCTTTTCTTTTTTTTGGGGGGGGGAGGGGTACTGGAGTTTGAACACAGCCTCACTTGCTAGGCAGGTGCTCTAGCACTTGAGTGACTCTACCAGTCCTGTTCTGTGCTGGGTATTTTCGAGATAGGGTCTTGAGAACTATGTGTCCGGGCTGGCTTTGAACCACAGTACTCCTGATCTCTGCCTCCTGAGTAGCTGGAGGCATGAGCCAGTGACACCTGGCTTGATTCTATCTTCTTACAAGCAAATATAGTGTACACCAACAATCCTTAATGGTACCCTTTGCTCATTGTGACACAGGTTTCTTCATGGTGCTCTTTGGGGTGTCATTCCTGGCTGTATAGATACAAGTCCTGCTTCTCTGCCCTTCCTGGAGAGCTCCGTGCAAATGGCCTTCTTTAGTATACACTGTTCAAACAGAGAAACGTACAGGCAATTCCAACTGATTTCTTTCTTTCCTTTTTGAGACAAGGACTCCTACATAGCCCAGGCTGACCTCCAACTTATGATCCTCCAGCATCCACCTCACAAGTACTGGGATTACAGATTTACCACCATGACTGGTTCTTACAGTGACTTGACTTAGGATTTTTCAGCTTTATTGGGGTATGAAAACAATATGCGTTCAGTACAAGCCATACTTCCAAGTTTGAATTTTACTCTTTTCAGGATCCATCAATATATACTATAGGAAACTGGCTCAGGAGGCTGGAGTCATGTGGCCATAGGGATGAACACATAGCACTGTAGACTGTTGTGTTCCCAATGTGCTTTGGCTACTGGGGCTGGGGGTGTTTGTTTTTGGCGATCCTGCGCTTTGAACTCAGCCTTGAGCTTGTGGATGTTCTGGGGTTTTTTGGTTTGAAGGGACTGGGGTTTGAACTTAGGTGCTTTACCACTTGAGCACACCTCCAGTCCATTTTGCTCTGGTTATTTTGGATCTGAGGTCTTGAGAACTATTTGCTTGGGCTGGCCTCCAACCAAGATCCTTCTGATCTCAGCCTCCCAAGTAGCCAGGACCACAGGCATGAGCGACTAGTACCGTTTCATTCTTTCATTCATGTTGTAGCACGTATCAGAGGACCACAGGCATGAGCGACTAGTACCGTTTCATTCTTTCATTCATGTTGTAGCACGTATCAGTGAACTACATTCATTTTTATGCTCAAACATTAATCAAACTATATGGATGTACCACATTTTTTTAGTATCTTTTTTTTTCAGACGGGATCTCACTATTTAGCCCAGGTTGGCCTACTATGATTCTCCCCTCTCTGCCTCCTGAGTACTGGGATTACAGGCATTTATTACCATTCCTGGTGATGTATCATTTTGAATATCCACTCACGGTCGTTGAGTTGTTCCCATTTTTGGCAACTATGAATAATGGTTCTGTGATCATTCACATAGAGGTCTTGCTGTGTCTTCCACTCACTTGGGTTACAGTGGAATTCCTAGGTCACATGGTGATTCTATATATAACATTTTAAGAGCCACCATTTCTTGGGAAGGTGCTGGGGATTGAACCGAGCGTCTCTTAACATGCTAAGCCCATATTCTACAACTGAGCTAGACTCCCAGCGTTCAACTTATTATTTTTTTTTTTTGGTGGTACTGGGGCTTGAACTAAGGGCCTACACCTTGAACCACTCCACCAGTCCTTTTTGTGATGGGATTTTTTGAGTTGGGTCTTGTGAACTACTTGCCCAGGCTGGCTTAGAACCTCGATCCTCCTGATCTCTGTCTCCTGAGAAGCTAGGATTACAGGCATAGCCACTGGTGCCCGGTGACACTGAGATTTATTGACTAACAATTGCTGGGCTATGAGGAGATCAGGGGTGAAGCCAGTCCTGTATCTGCGCCATGATGCTGCCTTTTCCACAGAGCCTCCTCCTAAAAGAGAAGGAATGCAGTCCAGGTCAGTGTGAGACTTGCAGCCAGAAGAAACTGGGAAGAGATTTGTGCTCTGCAACTCGGCCATGACTTTGGACAGGCAAATACTGATGTCTGGGCCTTGGGCTCCTTTTGTTTCATTTTCCTTCAGCAGGTCTCATTATGACACCAACTGGCTCACTCTCATTAAATAGCACTGCTTAGTCTCCAGGGGCTGGGGATTACAGGTGTGTTTATCTGTACTACATGCTGGATTGAGATTTGGTTTTCATACATTTAAAAATCGGCTTTGCTGGGCCAGTTGCTCAGGACACAGGCAGGAGAATCGCTTCCAGGCTGGCTTAGAACCTCGATCCTCCTGATCTCTGTCTCCTGAGAAGCTAGGATTACAGGCATAGCCACTGGTGCCCGGTGACACTGAGATTTATTGACTAACAATTGCTGGGCTAATGAGGAGAGATCAGGGGCTGAAGCCAGTCCTGTATCTGCGCCATGATGCTGCCTTTTCCACAGAGCCTCCTCCTAAAAGAGAAGGAATGCAGTCCAGGTCAGTGGTGAGACTTGCAGCCAGAGAAACCTGGGAAGAGATTTGTGCTCTGCAACTCGGCCAGGTGACTTTGGACAGGCAAATACTGATGTCTGGGCCTTGGGCTCCTTTTGTTTCATTTTCCTTCAGACAAGGTCTCATTATGTAACCCAGACTGGCCTCAATCTCATTATACTACTGACTTAGTCTCCAGAGGGCTGGGATTACAGGTGTGTATCTGTACTACCATGCTGGATTGAGATTTGGTTTTCATACCTTTAAAATCGGCTTGCTGGGCACAGTTGCTCAGGAAACAGGCAGGAGAATCGCTTGTACCCAGGGTCCACAGACAATACCATGTCTCAAAAACAAAATAGCTACTTGGAAGGCTGAGATTGGGAAGATCATGGTTCAAGGCCAGCCTGGGCAAACAGTTTGCAAGACCCGTCTCCAAAATAACTTGAGAAAATTGGACTGGAGGTGTGGCTCAAGTGGTAGAGCACCTGCTTAACAAGCACGAATGAGGCCCTAAGTTCAAACCCTGGTACCACCACCACCAAAAAAAAAAAAAGACAATAAGCAAGGAGACAAAAGAACTACTCCAGGCAGTTAGAACTAAAGATAAACCACAGGCTTGTAAAGATGGTGCCTAGGACCCAGGACAAAAAAAAAAAAAAGTCTCCAAAATAACCAAAGCAAGATGTGTGGCTCAAGTGGAATAGTACCTGCTTTGCAAGCACAAAGCCGAGTTCGATACCAAGCCCACAAAGTAAATAAATAAATAAAATGGGAGTGTGGGGGTGAGGTTTATTATGAAGATGCACAGGACCTAGAATAAGTATGCATGAACATAAAGTCAGTCAACAAACCTTTATAAGCATCCACTGCTTCCACACATAATGAACAAAACCAAAAAACAATGCGTAAACAACTTAAGCAAATAAAACAATGTGTCAGGTAGTAATAGGGATGGAGAGGAGCCAGGAAGTGATGAGTGTTAAGATGCTCAGAGCCCAGGACAATGCAAAGTTTCCTTTCTTGATGTTTTGTTTTTAATTTTTAATTTCATGGTGAAGGTCTCGCTATGTTGCCCAGGCTGGCCTCAAACTCCTGGGCTCCAGTGGGCTCGGTCCTTAGCCTCCCAAGTGCTGGGAATGACAAGAACAAGATACTGCGCCTGGCAGAAGGTCGGTATTTGTACTAACTCCTTAAAAGAGGACAGAAGAATCATTCGGAGGCACGAGAGAGCTTTCCAATCTTTGCCGACAGTAAGCCAATGCTCAGTGATGCAAACGGGCTGAGATTGTTGGTCATACAGAGGTGTCAGTGTGCCTAGCAGGGAGGTAGTGCAAGGCTGCAGGTCCTCAGCGAGGACTTTGGCTTACGGAGGATGGAACTTTCTTAAAGCAGCGGGAGGCAGTTGACTTGGGCACAGTCGCCCAGCTGTAAAGCCATGTTAACAGAAAAGACTGGAACACCTCCCTTAGTCAATGGGACTGGGAGCTAGACTTCAGCACAAGGGACAGGGCCACGAACGTTGCCTGGATACCAGGGAAGCGGCCATCCTAGGGGCGGAGCTGCGTTGACCACCTATGAGAAGTGGCGGGTTATGTAACGGGCACACCCCCTAGGGCAGGGGCTACAAAAGCGTCCTATCGGAAGAGACGGGCTGTGCGCCCCAGGCACACTCCATAGAGACTGCTCAGAGAAGCTGGCTGAGCTCACCCAGTGGGGAGTCCTCTGGAAATCCTATTTGGAGCAGAGCCCATTTACTGGGCAGTGCACAAAGGATGCGCCCCTGCCCCTCCGCTTCACCCTCAATTATGTGATCAGGATGGAGGCAAGATTCCCTTTTTCTTGCTGAGGCTTCCCAGGGGAGTACCCTAAACCCGGTCTCGGTGTTTGACATGAGGGAGCTGGTGCTGAGGCCTGGAACCCAGGCAGGAGAGATTTCTGGCCCTGGAGAGAGGGAACCGGGAACCTACTAAGAGTCGAGTTGGGGCATTTCCACCGGAGAAATGTTGAAGGGTCCTTGGAATCCGAAATTTGGGTGGCCATCTTGGGAACCTGGAGGATAATCTGTTCTGGTTTATCCAGCTGGGCATCTACGAAGCCCAGGAGCCAGAGGCTGCACTTAGGTGCCTCCACCTCTTGGCAAACAATGACTGGGAGTGTGGCTGTGGCCCTAGACAGGGCTTGTGCTCTCTCACAGCAGGGAGGGCTGGGGGATCCGCTGGACCTGCATGGGACAGAGTATCTCCTCACCACGTCCAGGGGATTCTGCTGGCTAATCCCTCTCTAGTTTACACCCTGGATTTGACGCCACCATTCCCCCAGACTTTCAGCCCCACTCCACTTGCATCCAAAAGGCTTTGCCCAGCTGACTTCAGCTCCAAGCCCATCCTCACACCTAGCTGGATTTTTGTGTGTCTCCTTCCCTTATCCCCCAGCCACCATGTAGGCACACATTTGAGAAGCCTGCCTGGCCACTCACTCCCAGTCCTGCCGGGAAAGGGCCCTTTGGTGCCTGGAAGCTCCTGTGAGCACAAAGACCAGATTCACTGCCATATTCCCAGCCTACCCACAGGCCCAACATGGGAAGTACCACCCAATAAACACTGTGAGAATGAAACGACACACACATGAATTCTCCATTTATTCTGGGATTAGAGTAAGCATCCAAGTCTCTAATGAGACTTGCCTCTCTGTTGCCCAAAATCGTGTCCAGGAGTCTCTGGCGTGTAATGTGCATGGTCAGTGTGGAGCTCACGCCGAGACTGAACATGGGGGTGACACCCCCAGCTGCAGAGAACCAGGTACATACAGTGCGCTTTATAGTGATACAGGCCTTATGGACTGCACAAGAATGGTCAGTGCTAATGGGAAATGGATTCTCCCTGCAAGGGCAGAAGGTAATCAGACAGCTGGGCGGTGACCCTCAGGTCAGGCTGGACCCCAGCCCAGAGACACGCAGGGCCCAGGGGCACTGCTCAACCAAGTTGGTAGAAATCCTGGTCTGTACCTCCTTCAAGACTTGGAGGCCTCCTTTGGTCCTAAGTCACCAATCCCTAATCCCCTTCCCCCCAGTCATCTCATTGCTTCCTTGGACAGGGGTCCTGAGCCCTGTGCTGCTGTGTGCCTGGTGCCCATCATGATCTACTATGAGGACAACCGTGGGTCCCTGCTCTTCCTGTGCTGGAGGAGTCTCTCCATCCGAAGCCAGCACTCCCCCACTTGCAGCAGGACTGAGGACCTCCCAGGTGCCAGTTTCCTGGGATTGGAGGACAATGGCCTAGAAGACCTCCATCAGCTTTGAATGTGTCATGTGCCAGCAACAGGTTTCTCTATGCTCAAGATGACAGCCACATCTTCCTGAAGCCAGCATCCTTGTGTGGCAAGGCATGTGTGCAGGGGACACTGCCACAGGCCAACTGCATCACAGCACCCTCGGCACAAAGGAGACCTCCAAGGGCGCTAGCTCTCCAGCTGTCTCTTTGGGACAAGTACCGTACCTGTGGTACTGTCTGGGGATGAGTGATCCCTTACTTTGAGGTGGATCTGCATTCGGAAACTTGAACATAGTTGGCACCAACTGGGAAGCTGATAGGAAAGAGCCAGGCTGCAGCTGCAGGTGCTCACCTGGAGTTTGGAAGGGCTTAGCAGGTGGGGCCCTCCTAAGTGAGTTTCTGGTTCACAGTGGGTCCCTCCTCAGCCTGCATGACCTCACCACAAACAAAAGAGTCTCTTGTTGTCCCAGCCCCTAGATGTGTCCAAGACAGAGGCTTACAACATGTTCCATCACAATCACAGAAAGGACCTGTCCCCTCCACTGCTGTACACCTTGGTGGAATCCCAGGGTACTTGCAGGGACTTGAAAGTTTCCATTGTGTGCCACCTCTTCTTCCCGCCTCTCCGTGCATTGCGCCTCTTGGTATGGTTACCTGGGGCTTCCTCCACACTAGCATGAAGCCACCTTCTACCAATGTTTCTTTTAGTGCAGAACCCTTTCCTGTGGCTCGAAGGCCGGTCTTCACCACTTCCAAGATTCTAGATTTTCTGTTATCAGCTGAGGGAGGAATCTGGAGTGAAGGCCAGCTTCTGCTTCTCCCAGGAGCCACAGTTACCTGTGCATTCCAGCCAAGGGGCACCTGGGTCTAGGCAATCAGTGCTGGCTCTGGGAGCCTTCCATGTCTCTGCTTCCCTTCCCCCATACAGAGCTTAGAGGAACTTCCTGGGGGAGGGGAATCTCCAGCTTCACACTTCTGCTGTTGACACACAGTTCTTTACCCTCTTCCACGCACAAGATGTACAGTAGCATCCTTAGCCTGTACCCACAAGAGCCAGGAGCACCCTGGAGTCATATAAAATGTCCCCCAAACATTGCAGAATTTCAACTGGGAGGCAAAACATTCGCAAAGTGAGAATCACTGCCCTAGGGAAGCCTGCTGGCACACTTTGGGCAACTAAAAAGAGCTCCAGCTCTCCCTGTGAGCCTGTGTGGCACAGCACCTTGAGGGAGGGCCACAGCTGTTGCAGACACCAGCCCCTCTGCCCCCCAGCATAGCTGGTCTGCTAGCTGGTGACTTTCCCCAGGCCCCATATGCCGTTTTCCAATTGGCTTACATGTTACCACCAGCAATGAACCCTACAGAGACATTCTACTCCACAAAGATGTGAAACTGCATTTAAAAGATACCAGAATCCATGGAGCAAACAACACATGCCTGCACGTTTCAATCAGACATCAAAGACCAGTGAGGGCCACTGCTGGCTGCTCTGCAGTGACCAGTGAGGGCCACTGCTGGCTGCTCTGCAGTGCCAGGAGTGGAGCTATAGAACCTGCTGGGACTCGAGGGCAAGAAGACCTCAGGTGAACAGAAAGCTGGCCCTTGCCAAGCTTGGAGTAAAGGTGTCTGGAGGCCTGGAGTTGGACCCTCTCTGGTGATCAGGGACCATCCTGCTATCCCCACACTGCTTCCCAGAGGGGGAACAGAGTGGAGGGAGCTGCCCACTGCCCGGCTGGAGGGTCAGACACCCAGGTCTGAGACAGCGCCATTTTCTTTTTCTTTATTTGTCTACATTCATCTGAGTTTAGATGTACTGCCTGAATAATCCAGACATACAAAAAAACCCCACTCTTTCCCACTGCTTTTTAAAATAAAATCTTCACTTAGAAAACTGAACACTAAAGCATTAAAATACAGAAAGCTCATTTAACTCACTTCACAAAAGCATTAACAGATGATGTATCCCTTCCGTAACTATTTAAAGACAAACCAAGGCAACGCTAACACCGAGTGTAAATAGACAGAGGGATACTGAACGGTAAGAACTCAAACTCTACCCAGACGAGGCTGTAATGGCAACTAACAAACCATTAAAGACACGGAGTCCCAAACACGGCTAAATGTGGGTCACAGCACGGGTCCTGGGGACCACTGCACCTCACAACACGGCAACGTGGACGGGTGGGGCACCTGCAGGGCCGGTGGGCATGTTAACTGCGATGCGTAAGACTGAATCTTCCGATGGGCTGACGGCGTGAGTGCAGAAGGCGCAGGTCAGCAGCCCGGGGCTTTATCGGTACTGGTAGTTCATGCTGTGGTCTGCGTTGCGGCTGTAGCCGCCCTGTGAGGACTGGTAGGAGCCAGGAGGGCCACTGTAGTTCTGTCCAGACCCTGGGGAGTTGTAGTTTGACTGTGACGAGTAGCCTCCTATGAGAGAAAGGGTGGGTTTAGAGCGGGAGCAGGGGGTCCCGCCTGGCTACCAGCTGTACCCATGCTGAGTCCACGAGTGTGCAGTCCCACAGACTCCTGCTTTGCTCTAACTGCCTTTCACATGTCACTGAATCTAGGAGTGATGGCAAGGGGCGATTTACAGAATGGAGGGCTGTGTGAACCTGCCACCCTGAATGAGGAGTCACACCTGAGACAACTTAGTTTGACCCTGTCTTGGGTATGTGTTCCAGTAGGTGGCAACACTTAAGAATTGGGCAACTTCTGGTCTCTGGCTTCTGAAAAGACGAAGCAGCTGGTGTGCACCCAAGCCAGGTTCAGGTTCAGCTGCAGAATCCCCTGAGCAGTTGCCAGTGCAGCCTGCCCACATAGCTCCAGGCTGGTGCTGTCCCCTTCACAGAATCTACAGGTCCCTGCTGTGTGACACCTGCCGCCCCGGCCCACCTTGTTTGCCTTGGTATGAAGAGCCGCCCCCAGAACCTCCGCCGTAGCCCCCATGTGACCCAGGGTTGTAGGATGACCCGCCTGAGCCATAGCTGTTCCCGCCGCTTCGGCCTCCACTACCACTGTAGTCTGGGGGAGAGAAAAGAGTGTGGTTAGGGGGCCTGGGGAAGGCAAGGCTGGGGCGGGCCAGGGTCCCAGTGAGGCGCCTTTGCAGATCTCCCTGTCTGCTTAATTTTGGCACGTCAGCCCAATAAACAAATGCCACGGCCTAAATAGAACCTTATGATAAAATTACCTTGCCCTTGGTCAAGCAGGTCACCAGGGTCAGAAAGCCAGCTGTGTCTTGCCTTCTCATCTGCTTCCCAACCCAATCTTGCCAGCCACAATCAGGGCCTACATGGCTGCACACAAGGCGCCCTCCCAGTCCACACAGCCACAGCACAGCTTCTTTCAAGTCCCCAGCCTTGCTGGTAACCACTATTATACTGTGAGGACACACATGTACTCTGAACCTGGCCAACAGTGCAGTGCTGCACAGTGGGTCTGTGCATGAGGCACAGGGGAGATTTCAACTCCTTAAGGAGCTACAGCTTCTATACCTGTCTCAAAAAGAGAGGTCATCTTGTAGCCTCCACCCTTTTGCCTAGTTAGGTCCTTAGGATGAAACTGGCAAAGACCTGGGCAGTGACCTGCTGCCTCCCAGATGTTTCTAACATCCACCCACAGCCTACACCATCTGTGCTGCTCCTAATTCCTCGGCTACCAGCCAACTCACTGAATTTGCTCTCGTAGCTGTAGTCAGAGCCGCCGCCCCCAGGGGAGTTGTAGGAGTTGGAGTAGGAGGAGTAGTTGCCCTGCCCGTGGTTGTAGCCTTTCTGTTTGCCCTGTGGTGGGCCGTAGTTGCCGTACTGGCTCTGGTTGTAGGACTGCTGCTGACCCTGGTGGGACTGGTAGCCCGAGCCATAGGAAGGCTTCTGCTGGCCTCCATGTGGCGGCTTCTTCCCGGTGTGCTTGGGGGGTACCGGTGAGTTGTAGTTGTCCCCTTGGTAGTAGGAGCTGTAGCCAGAGGAGCCACCACCGCCCCCGCCGCCGCCACCACCAGCATTCCCTGAATGCCCTCCGTTGCTGTAGAATTGACCTAAACAGGGAGGCAGGGGGTCAGGCGGAGGATCAGGAAGGTGAGGGCAGGGAGGGGAAGAAAGGTGGAAGCCGTAGGCCATGAAGGCTGACCCACAAGCTGCTGCCCAGAGACAGCAAGGAAGAGGATGGAGAGCCATGGCTCTGCTGGTTAAGGCAGCCTGGTTGGGACTGGTTCAGCCTTCAGCTCCACTCACCCATCAGCTGATGACAACAAGGGATCTTTGCCAAGCAGCAGCACGACAGCAGCTTTGCAGCAGATGTCAACATTACAATGAGATGGGCTCCGAGCGTGGATGACATTCAGGACTAGCTGACGGCTACCCAGATGTCCCCAACGGTGACAGGAAAAGCAAAGCCCCAGAGAAGCAGCGAGCCACCCCCACCTCCTCCATTCTGTGCTGGGAACAGGCTCAGCAGGCAAAGGCCTGGGGGACCTCAGTAGATGCTCTGTAACAAGGCCTCTAAAAACCATCTTTTTTTTTTTTTTTTAAGTTTTAGCAAATATTTATTTTAGCATAACAGGATAAAGTAAGGAGCAGTGGGGGAGGGGGAAACATTTCCTGTTCTCCATGCAGAAAATGGGAGTAAAGACTCCATCACCATCTTCTTGAAAGATCAAGTGGTCTGACCTGATTCTCAGAAGAGTGAGTTGAGACTCAGACAAATGAAGCGGGCACCTCCCTGGTTATTACTGTACAAAAACACAGGACTTAAGGTGCAGAGTGGGTCCCCAGCCTCAGGCTGAGGCTGGCATCAGGATGTCCAGGAAGTGCCTGAGATACAGTCTTGGTGCCACCCAAGGCCCCTTCCTTGTTCCCAACACAGCTGCTGGGGCACAGGTAGGACCAAGCAGCAGGACTGTTGTGCTTGCACTGTGGCCACCACACTCTCAGGCCTAAGGCCTGAGAGCCCTGCTTCCGGTCACCAGGTGACTGCTCTGCCAGAGACAAGGGTGAAGCAATGTGGGTTCAGCTGTGCTAAGGGTCCACTGTACCTCCCACTTCACAAGGGAACCTCATACCAGCAGTCTTAGGCATGGCTGTGGAAGTCTCAGAGTGTGAGTGACGCTGGAGGCCAGGCCAGCTAGGCCTTGCAGCAGCTCTCCAACTCAGCAGGGCATTCCCCAGCACTCAAATAGAGACTGAGGAGCTCTTAGATCTGGACACACAGGTATCCCAAGGCAGCCAGGCCCCGGGTGGGAGGGAGGGAGGGAGGGGGGAGGGGGGCCTCCGACACAGCCTGTCCATCCTTCACAGGTTGAGCACTGAGGATCCCACGCTTTCTGCCCCCTGGAGACGCTGCTGTGTCATGGGTCATTGGCACAGGCATTGGGGGAGACAGAACCCATCTGCAAGCTTGATTTTCTCCGGGTAGCTGCCCTCCCCTCCCCCATCACAAAGCCACACACTAAAGAGGAGGGTGTGTCCCACAGTGCAAGAAAGCAAACATGCAGAGGCTTAGTGAGGCGACTGGGTAGACAAGAGCATCAGCATCCCCACTCCTTGGAGCAGCCACCCACCATCCCCCAAACTGGGCTTCCCCAGCATCCTGCACTGAGCGCCCGCCTGAAGCCGGGAATGAATGAAGACGCAAGTACCGAGGGCTCATTACTGTAACATGTATTGATTAAAAAAAAATAATAAAGGGGAGGGGAAGATGTCAACGTCATTCAGGATAACTATTTCCTGGTATAAAAAGACATTATTCTCAAACAATAACTTTCTAAAAAAAAAAAATACATCATGCAATCAAAGTATTAAAAAGTTTCACTGAATGTTTCAAACCTCGGAGAACAGATCACATAGTAACCGTTTTGACCAGTTTTTGCCTGAATAAACGCAAGATCTTGCAAGTCAAGACAGAAGCAGGCTTTGCATCAAAAGAGCTGCTGAGCAGAGGCCCAAACCACAGTACTCAAAGGAGGGCTCCGCCAGAAACGGAGGTCTTGGTGAAGAGTCAAAAGGGCCTTGTTACCTTTGCACACAGGGAGAAGGTGCTTCCAGGCCTCAGGAGTCTGCAGCTGCATGCCCAGCAGCACAGGCTGGCCAAAGCCAGCTCTTCACTGGAAAATCCGGGAATGTACCAGGCTCACTCTTTTTTAAAGCCCCGTTTAAAAAAAAAAAAAAAAAAAAAAAATCCAGAATCCCATGCATTTGCAGCTGTGATCAGGACTTGCAACATTTCACGTTTTCCGCCCCTTAAAGCCTGCCTGCTTCTCGTACAGGCAATGGAAGCACAGTTTTGATACCTTTGAGAGTTCGCTCTCAGCTAAACCAGCCACAGGATACCGCACCCCAAACAAAAACCCACCAGAGCATTTACACAAGGCAGGAGGAGTTAACTTAGCGCAGTGTACAAATCCCCATGTTCCCAACATTTTACATGCTCCTTAAAAAGAAAGTCTCTTGCTCTGGATTCAGATGTGGTGAAATAGGTTTCGTCACTGTCAAAGGCATCAACCAGTTTTGGGAATTTGTTAAAAGATTAAAAATTCATACAAAACCTGCTGTAAATTAAGACAAAGGTAGATTAAAATGCGTCATTGTCTCTTTAAATAAAATAATGCTTTCCATAAAAAGCAAAGGTGGGCTTTTGCCTTGATGCTGAACAACGCTGGCTCTAGAATTCTGTGCAAGTCTGCACAAAAATACATTGTGTGAGAAAAGTGTTTCCACTTATTGTGAACTTGAAAATGAGCAAGGCTCAAAGGCAAATCGCGATAAAAACTGCCACTGTCTTAAGCTCTGCAGGCTGAGAGTTTCAGACAGGCTGCGGTGGAGAGCCACGGTTGAGGCCCAGTGGAGCACAGGGACACAGCACGGACACTTTGGGTTTGGAGTTGGAGGAAATTGGAGTAAAAAGTTGATTTTGTGTGCAATACTTTTAGACGCTCTAGGAAGACCCAAAATCATGATAGCCGTAGCAGTCTGTGAAAAAGTCACCTACAAAAGGGGGAGACAGAGCAGAGAGAAGAAATTAGAACTCTTTTGAAAAAGGGCACAGAGCGCCACATTTGAACTCATGTTCTAGATTTCTCTGCTCCTGTGGCCCCCAATGAAGGCTCCTTCTCAGGACAAGAGCGGTGCTTGGGCAGGAAAGGCGCACGCGCAGAGACTGGTGCTTCGCTCGGCTTAAAGCAGAGAAACTTACACTTCAGACTTCTAAGGAACTCGGAAGGTATACAAGTTGCTGTGTTAGCTCTTAAAGAGTCAAGGACACAATTGTGGGAGGGGGGCTTGAGGGCCGGCTGACCTAACACCGCAAAAAGGTGCGGGTGGCTCTGAGCCTCAAGGAGGCTGTGGCCGGCGCCCTGCCCTAAACTCAGGCCCATCACTACACTGCCATTTCCTCCCAAGTGGAGACACAGAGAAGCACACACTTACTGTAGCCTGCTGTCGCTGAGTTGCCTCCGTACCCGTAGCTTCCATATCCAGCGCCTGTTATGAGAGTGGACAGGTCACAGTGTGGTCACAGTGTGAAGGAACGGGTCCACCCATACCTTCCTTCCCACTCTTAGGCTGATCCCAAGGGTCCCACATGCCTGAGGGAAGAAACATGTATCCCTGGAGCATGCAAACTGGGGACACAGAACAGGGGCTGCTCACCAGCATTTATGTAGCCACCGTGGTTGGCACCACCAAATCCTCGTCCTCGCCCTCGCCCACGAATGCTGCCTCCTCGTCCCCGTCCACGGAGGTTGGGGGGTGGAGGCACTTCGTTGTGCATGGGGCCTCCCATGCCAAAGCCAGGGTTGTGAGGCTAAACAGAGAAAGCACAGGCATCACTCACTTGCATCACTGAGGGAGAATTCCCACCCAGGTCAAGGACAGATGCTCACCTTGGCAGCAAATTTGGGTCCACCTCTGACAGGGACTGGGGCTCTCTTCTTCTTGTTGGCTTCAAGGGCAAGGGGAGCATCAGGGAAAAGCTTTTCCAGAGCAGCCAGGGCAGCATAGGCCTTTGCCACCTTTTTGTTTGAACCAGCACCTTGAAACTTCTGTCCATCCACCTCGACCTGCAGAGACCAGATTAGGTGGGGTTGACATAGTGCAGCCTCTGAGAGAAGGGTCCCATCTCCGACCCTTCTGCAGAGTACCCAACCTCCCAGGAAATGCCCCTTCCAGAAAGCTCAGAGCCGGTTCAGTCACTCACCTCCATGACAAAGCGCTTGTCGTGGCTGCCCCCTGTCTCTGAGATGAGCTCATACTTGAGGCCGCGCCTCTTCTCATTAAGTTCCATAACTGGGTTCTTGCCATGCTTAGTCAGGATCGGCCCCTGCTGTTTTACGTTCTCAGGGAAAACACAAAAGAACACAAATAAACTCAGCTTAGGGCTGAGGCCTCCAGTTCCACCTGCCCACCTCTCTGCCAACCCAGCTGAGCTCTGTGATGCAAGCACCTCCACCACACCTTTCTATGATGAGCAGAAATGCTTCCTGTTAGCGGAACTCCAGGCCCCTGAGGCTATCACCTGCTCTCTAGGAGGGCCACTGGCTGAAGGTTTACTCAGTGTACGGCAGATAAAGGCTGCCTGCCCTGCTCTGGCTGCCACTCCCAGTGCCCACCATGCCCTCACCTCGGCTGTAGCGTCTGAGGGGAAGGCAGCGCTGGGAGTTGAGGAAGCTTCCACCACAGGGGGCGGGGCCACCACAGCAGGCTTCGCCTCTGCCTCCTCGGCGGAGTCCTCTCCCTTGCTGGAGTCCCTGCCTTCGGCGCCTGTTGGCAAGCCCATATCCTGTAGCACCTGTAGGGTGCAGAACCAGTGAGGGAGGGCTTGGCGGGTGTGGGGTGGGGATGTCTGCGTACGTCCTCCCTGTTCCCTGTCTACAGTCCATGGATCCAGAACTCTAAAGCTGGAGCCCAGCCACTAGCAAAAGGGTTTTTCCTTTTCTTTTAGCTCCCAGGAGGCCCTGAGGCCCAGCCAGGTCTGAGGATCTTCTAAAGGTGTTTGCCACAAGTGACTTGACAAGTGTTTGAAAATCTAACCACTTCAGCGTGTTCATGCCCCTCCAGATACATACTGTCCACACACAGAAAGAGCCCAAAATGAAGACTGTGTTTGCCACAGGAAGACGGTACCTTAACAGCCACGTGCAGCTTGGCGGTCTTTTTGGATGGCCCAGAAGCCTCGAAGGAACTGCCATCCACTTCCACAGACATGGTGAAGATGGGGGCATGGACAGGGCCCGTCTGGGAAACCAGCTTGTACTGCAGTCCTGGCTTTAGCTGGTTCAACCTCATCAGGGCATTCATAGCTTGGGGAGGCTCAGCCTTCTCCTCTGAAGAGAGAACAAGATGGTGTGGGGTGAGAATTTAATAGGTCTCTGCCAGGCAGAGCCCAGATATGCTGAAGCCTGGGTACTCTGCTGCCATGTGCCAAGTGATCTGGCCTGGGCTTTCACAATCCCTAGTACAGGCAGAGGACTGTGATACTCTATCACAGTTACAGGATTTTAAAAAAACTTAAATACTGTGTCAAAGAATAACTAAAGCAAGGGCAGGCATCATGCTCATCACCTTAGGGTAATTACACCCTAACAGGAAGAGATAAGGTGACACCACTGACAAGGTGTTTGTACATACCTTTCTTTTGAATCTTCTTCTTCTTTTTGCTGGGAGACTTCTCCTCCCCATCTTCCTCCATGGGGCGTTTCATGGGAGCAATGGCATAAGTGGTACTGGGGGGGATTTGAACTGAAAGAAGAGACCAGGGCTAGAGCAGCTGAGACACACAGGTAGCCACTCGGGAGAGACCCACCACCCACTTCCTGTGCTCACTTACTGATGTAGTCCACTGGGTTCTCATTCTTTGGTTTCTTGGGCATCTTAGAAGGCAAGGGGTCCATTCCCAGGACTTTATGGAGCTGACCAAATGCAGCAAGTCGCAGTGCATGCTGGAGAAGGGGAAGAACAGTGTGACTCTGCGGCCCTGAGCTTGCAGCCAGTGTGTGCGCTCACTAATGCCTTCTGTGACAGGGCAGGAGCTGAGGAGGGGCTGCTAATGGTCAAACCTACATCAGCAAGGGGTCCCGACAGCCAGGGCAGGGCCTGACCGCTGTGGCCCAGCCTTGCTGTGGGGTAGGGCCAGCCTGTGACCACCCCCCTGGAGAAGAATACAGGAGATCCCAACCTGGGGACTGGTTGCCACACGGAGCCAGGTGGTGGGCTGCATAGGGAAGAACTCCTCAGCAGTCCTCACAGCAAACACATCTCCCCAGTGCCCTCAGTGCAAACATGGCACTTGGGCAGTCGGAAGAGGAGACAACCACGCATGGCGCCAGGGGAAAGAAGCAGCCCAGATTGGGGCGCCCTGTATCAGATACCATGCCTTCGCCTTTGGCCCCAACCTGAGACTACAATCTGGGGGCTGCCCTGAGAATAGCCAGTCATGGAACTGGGAGCCAGTGAGTGCAGACTGGGTAAGGGCTCACGTTGGCAATGGCGACGACTATACCTGCGCACTCTGTGTGATATCTTCCCGTTGCTGTCTGTCTAGATGCCCAATAGCATCAGTGGCTTCTTTTTCACAAGGGTCATAAATGCCAGAACCATCTGAAGGCAGGAAACAAGGAAGATATGCAGAGGATTATCTTTTAGCATCTCCGAAGAGTTGTGCTGACTGAGGGAACCAGGTGCGTTACCCCCCACGCCCCATCCACACCCAGCTCTGGAAAACACGCCGAGCTCGGTGACCCACTCAGCGTCCAGCCCTTGACAGAAATAACTCTCATGTGTCTCAGAGCAAAAAGTCACATGGGAGTGGGTCACCACTGCCCCTGGATCCGCCCTCCAAATCACGGCTGCGGACCCGGCTCAGGGCTGGATATGATGGTGCAAGAGGGTAGTCACATGCTTTAGCCCTAGTAGGGGACATGGAGCTACTGCTGCCCTAACCCAGTCAGTGAACCACAGAGGAGGAGGCCGCAGGGCCTGGATCCCTGTCTTTTTCCTGTCACTTGCAAAGCACAAGGCCCCAACCTGGCATCACGATGCCAGACGCCAGGCACTCCAACACTCTCCGCAGGGCCTCGCCGGCACCCATCGGCCTATTGGCCGTGCCAATGGACTTCTCACATAGCAGCTCCAGAGGCTGAAAGGTAAGAAGAGCAGCAAACCATTAATGCAGGAGGGGACCAGTCGACACCAGCAAAGCACTGTCACTGGGTGAGTGGGGGTGGGGTATAGGAGTTACAATCGCCTAGTCTTGTCAAAGCTGAACAGGAGCCCGTCAACCATTTCTTAAATGGATAGACATGATATTATTCAGACTGTGTGGGCCAAGAGGCAACACTGAGGATGTAAGTAGGTAATTACACTTACAGTGTAACTATTTAAAAATACCCAAATCATTCTTAACTGTGGGGCCATAAGAAAACAGGCAGCTGGCCAGTTCTGGCTACAGGCCCAAGTTTGCTATCTGTCCAAGAACATCAGCAAATGCTTCTTTATGGAGTGGCTCACATTATATTAACTGGCCAACTCCACCCCTCCATGAGCCGTGTGCCTAACCCCGAGCCCCAAAAGTCTTAGCCTTGTTCTTACTACCCCCAGACTCTGATGGACACAGTAGCTGCCTTTTGGGCAGCTCTGAAGATGCGTGACAGTCACACCTGCACACACCACTCAGGATTCCTGGGATAAGGAGAGCCTCTGAATATACTACCCCCACTGACCATAGTTGCAAGGTGCCTTACCCATCCTCTGAGAGGACCCCAGGTGGGCACACGAGTGCACAGGTCCCTCAGGACCCGGATCACAATGACACATGACTTCAGCCCATTGGCTCTGGCCTAGAGGAAGAAAGCACAGGCTCTTTACACAAAGGCACCTCTCCGGACACCAGGCAAACATAAACAACACAAGTCTCACAGTACTGCTTTGCCAAGGGTAAGCAGTGGGCATGCACGACCACCAAGTGTGTGGCCGGCAGTGAGTGCCCCGCACCGACAGAGTTCTGTTACTCTTGAGGCAAAGCAGCAGCAGCAGCCCACCTGCACCAGCCGGCACGAACCTCCTGGGGTGTGGAATTGGTTTAAGTGCTCTCCTTTAGCAGCTGCGGTGCCGCAGGTGCTAATAAGATCAGCACAGCATGGTCAATGTTACGGAAACTTTATGGTCAAAGTTAGCCACGTTAAAACTTAGGAATTCTCTACCAAAAGACAAAGAGAAGAACAAAATGCAAACCTGGAACCACTTGGCGTGTCGGAGGGACGCCAAGGCAGCAAGGCATTTCTGCCTGTCCAGAACGTCCGGGGGGTCGTTGACTGATAGCGTTTCTATTCATGGGTGGAATAAGAAGACAAGGCACAGTTTGACCAAGGGGTTCTGTCAGGTGGAAAGGGGATGTGGCAGCTTCCTAAAGGGCAGCCAAGTCTCCCAGAATCTGAATTCATCTCCACCCTAGACCAGGGAAGGAGAAGCTAGAGTGCAATGAACTCTGCCCTGAGAGGAAATCAGAAAAATTGGAGGCCCCCTCCAAAAAACACAAACAAAAAACCAAAAAAATTAAAAAAAAAAAAAAAAAAAAAAAAGGAAAAAGAAAAAAGGAAAAAAAATCAAAAGTGGAAAGTTATTCTAAAAGGAGTAATTCATGGGGAAGGGGAAAGATAGGCCGATCCTATCTTCTAATAGACTATTCCCTTGCTTCCTTCCCGTAAGTTAGCTAAACTACAATTTTGAATAGGAAAAACAAACAAACAACAACAACAACAAAAAAAAAAAGGTGGGGGGAGTGGAAATGAACTCCCTCTCTGCTTCCCATGACAGCCATCCCGGGAGGCATCTGCAGCAAAGGGGACCACCTCCGCCCACCAGGCGGGACTGCCCTAGCCCCAGCCCTTGACAGAGAGAGTCCTGTTGGTCAAAGGTCCAGCGTCCCTAAATGGATAAGCTACAAGGGCTTTGCTCGTTGGCATCAGGCATGAGAGCCAAAGGAAATCAATAATAGCAACAGGGCACCACATCAGCCTACGCCGCGGTACACCCAGGGTGTGTGTCCTCTATCTGGCTATCAGGGATTTGGATAAGGCCTGACATAAGGCTCAGGAGGGCCTTGGCAAACAATGAAACGTGGATGCAGTACTAGATCTGACAAAGATTCCGTTTCAAAAGCATCCAATGGTTTAAAACCTTATCCAAAACTCTGCATGGGCCCTTGGCCTTTCAGCCCCTCAAGCTGACACAAGTGCCAATGGCAGAGAGCAGATGGAGATGCCCTCAGTTCTGCTGCAATGCAAGCTGACCTCACAACTCCTACGTGACGTTCATACAGAAGCCATTTAGTTGTCAACAACTGCAAAACCAGAGTATTACCAGGGACACGCTTTTCCAAGGCCAAAGAATGGTTCAACAGGGAAACAAGTTTAACACTTATGTTCAGGAATGTTCAATGATTCAGAAACAAAACGGTGTAATCCCCTATGAAAAGTGCTACTCACTTTTAGTACCACCACTTGGTCAAACTCCCAAGCACTCAAGGCCAAGTGAAGATGTGATCTCAACGTAAAAGCAGTCAGATCTACACCGACACCCTTCTAATCAAAGCAGTCTAAAACTGAATAGCACGTTTGACCAATAAGGGAACACCAAGCTTTCAAAGTCCTGCTGGCCTGTCTTGGCCTCCCTACCTCCAGCTAATACTTTCTCCATTTCTTCTCTGACAACAGGGGATGTCAAGTGGATGGTCAGGGACAATGGAGGCTCTTTTGTGTTTTTTATCACAATGGCAGCATCATCCACAGATTGGAGGATTTCATACTTGTCTTCTGTCACAGTCTGAAAGAGAAAATGCAACTTTCAGAACACTTTCTCTGAAAAGCAATCAGTAATTCTGGCCAACTCTGCTGTTTCCTAGAGCAGAAGCCACCTACTCAGGTGCCACAAGGGCTTCCAGCTAGTCTATGAAGACCTCCCCTGGCAGGGTTGACCTTGGGCATTCTCTGGGCACTCCAAAGAGAGAGAGAGACACTAAATGTGTAGCAAGATAAGTCACTTCCACCAGGAGCTTTAAAATTAAAGAAAGGCAGATTGGCAGCAGTCTCAGCTACTCGGGAGGCTGAGACAAGAAGATGAGTTGAGCTCACAAGTTCAGGACCAGCCTACAGAACAGGCTGAGATCATCATGAAAACAATAATAAAGAGCCGGTGCAGTGGCTCAAGTGGTAGAGCACCTGTCTGGCAAGTGTGAGGCCAAGTTCAAACTCCAGTGCCGCCAAAGAAAAAAAATAAGAAAGATAAAATAATGCAACAGGAGGCCAGGCACAGTGGTGCACACCTGTAACTCCAGCACTTAAGGTTACAGAGGAAGGAAAATCCTCAGTTCCACGACAGCATGTACGACATAGTGAGACCGCATCTCAAAAAGCAAGCAAACAAAAAAAAATGCAGTAAAGAGCCAGGTACAGAGGTACACGTCTATAATCTCAGTACTAGGGAGGCTAAAGCAGTGATATTGTGAGATCAATGATAATCTGAGCTACACAATAAGATACTATTTCAGGGCTGGCAAAATGGCTCAAGGGGTGGAGCAACTGCTAAGCAAGCATGAAACCCTGAATTTAAAGCCCAGTACTGCCATAAAAAAAGAAAAGAAAAGAAAAAGAGCCTGTCTCAAAAAAAAAGAGCAAAGAGCGATTTAGGATTGGGGAGCAAACCAGGTGTGAATTTTCCTTTGGTCATTTAACAGTAAGTAACTTTGGAAGACTCAAAAAGAAGACTGAGGCTTCTTTTTGAGGTTTGTAATTTGTAAAAAATGATTTCACATGCCCAAACTGCAAGGTGTGGGAACACTTCAACAGTGGGTACCCAGCCACCAATAGCTCTATGCTGATGAGCAGCCACTAGACAACATGAAGACAAGTGGAAAGCAGTATCTATGCTGCAAATAAAAACACACACGTGGTACAAATGCTTGTCTATAAGGATATTCACAAGAGCCTGACTTTTCCTTCCTTTATGCTAATTTGGTGAAAACGCAAGCTTTTTCATACTATTTTTATTAAAGAAACAACATAGTAATTATCATGCTGTAGAGAGGACAAATGCACTCTGCACGTTCAACCTTTTGGGCCAGATAACTCTTGGTTGGGCGGGGGGGGGGGGGGGGGGGGGGGCGCTGTTCTGTGAATTGCAAGATGATCGGTGGCATCACTGGCCCCACTCACTAAGTGCTGGGAGCATTCCATTCCTGCCCTTTGTCTCCAGACATGCCAAATATTCCTGGGAAAACTCAACTGTCAGGAGCCACTAAATGCCTTTTTTTGCAGGCTGGGGATGGAACCCAGGGCCTTGAACATACTAAACCAGTGCTCTAGTACTGAGCTATTCATTTTTATCTTTAAGAAATGACTCTTTTGAGGGGGTGTGGGGGAGAGGGACGGGGCGGAGTGGGTGTTAAAGGGAGGGGGTGGGGGCAGGGGGGAGAAATGAACCAAGCCTTGTAAGCACATATGAATAAAAAAAAAAAAAAAAAAAGAAATGACTCTTTGTAAGAGGTTTCCCACTACAAACATTTATTTACACCACAGGATGTGGGAGAATGAGGCAGGAGGACCTTGAGTTCACACCCAAACTGAGCTATATAGCAAAACCCTGGCTCAAAGAACAAAGGACTGGGTTGGGGGTGTGGCTCGAGTGGTAGAACCCCTGTGTAAAAAGCGCAAGCCCCTGAGTTCAAACCATAGTAAAACAAAAAACAAACAACATCAACAAAAAAGACAATGGCTGAGCCAGGTGCTGGTGGCTCACACCTGTATCCTAGCTACTTGGGAGACTGAGATCAGCGGGACCAAGATTTGAAGCCAGCTGCGGGCAACCAGTTCAAGAGAGCCCATCTCAAAAGTAGCCAGAACAAAACTGACTGGAGGTGTGGCTCAAGTGGCAGAGGATGTGCTTTGCAAGCACGAAGCCCTGAGTTCAAACTGCAGTCCCATTAAAGAAAAGACCAAAACCACCACGAAGGCCTGGGGATGTGGCTCAGTGGCACAGTTTGCCTGGGCTCCCCTCCAGATCTTCAAAAAAGAAACATTTACACCAATCACACACTTTTCCTAGACAATGGTAAAACTGGGAAATTACCATTTTAAAAATACTTTAGGGGATCACCTTTGGTAGCTCCTTAAAAGTTTCTACCAGCCAGGCTCACATGTTTAATGCTAGCTACCCAGCAGATAGACAAGATCTTAGTTTGAAGCCAGCCCTGGAGCAAATAGTTCAAGAGATCCTATCTTGCGGGGGGGAAAAAAAAAAAATCACAAAAAAAGAACTGGGGCAGAATGGCTCAAGGTGTAGCACACCTGCCTAGCAAGTGTGAGGCCCTGAGTTCAAACCACAGTGCCACCAAGAGAAAACGAAGTTTCTATCATACTACATTCACTCTAGACCTCAAAAACACTTTTTTTTTTTTGGGTGGGACAATGTGCTTTTGAAGTAAAGCAATTTTACTTTAAATTTTCTTGGTAGGACTGGGGTTTGAACTCATGGATTCACACCTGCAAAGCAGTTGGCTCTACCCCTTGAGCCACGCCTCCAGTCTCAGACCTCTATGCTGATTTTCATTCTGAACCAAAACTGTCAGCCCCATGTGATGAAATGCATATTTACAGTCAAGTCAAAGTTTCTCTTTTCAAATGAATGCAATTTCAGGGCCACTTAATATTTCTTCTTTTGCATATCGTATAGCTTAAATCAAGGGTGGCAACTCATGGCAGTGATGGAGAGGCTCTGCAGCCTCCGACCTTGCCAGCAAGGTGCCATGGGATCACTGCTCAGCTGCTTCTACCTCAGTCCCACGGGCAGTAACACTCAGAGAATGAGATTACCTAGGTAGAGAGTACACCTGAGCCGGGCACAAGTGATTCACACCCTCAACCAGTAGCATGCCTGCTTTGCAAACATGAAGCACTGAGTTCAAATCCCAACCCCACAGAAAATAAATTAAAAATAAGGAGTACACAGGCACTAGGGTTCAATGTAGTAAATGCTCAATAGATGTCAGAGACCATCACTAAGGCCATCACTTAACTTACTTCCTAATGTAATAAATGGGTTTTAAGAAAAAATTGCTGCGTCTGTCCAGGTCTACCTCAAGGAATTCATTTCTGTTCTTTCCATCACCCAGAGGACAAATGGCCTTGGTGTAATGCAGTGTGGTATATGGTGGGCACTGGGCTCTCATTAACTAACAGTGAATCTATGATGTTCTGCCTATTATCTAAGGAGAAAGTGTACAGAGGAGGAGCAAAGGCACAGGCTGGTCCTCTCTTCCTCTGCCCCATGTCCTCCACAAGCATCATCCCCTTCCTGGTCTACTGATGGTGGTCACACTCACAGTGAGCTGGATGGCCAGGTTGTCAGCCACCTTGTCCAGGAGTGCAGTGGTGGGCTTCTCCTTACATAGCAGGACCAGCTCCAGATCCAAGTCTCCCTTGAGCAGAAGGCCCTTTGCCACAAGGCCGACCCGCATCACACCCCGCAGGGTCCTGGTCATGTGTTCTGCCTTCTGTTCCCTGAGGGACAGACCAAAAACCAGCTCAGTGGGGAGTCAGTCTAATCAGAACCCATGGAAGCCCACAACACATGGCCTCACACTTACCCAGCCCCTTCTTTGCTCTCATCATCAGGAGGTGCATCCATGTTGTCCGACTCAGTGGGCTCACCACTACCCTTCTCCTGCTCATCGATCCAGTCCGACACAGCTTTGAGAGCTCGCTCCGTGTGGGACACCATGTTCTGCACAGCCTCCAATTCCTCTTGTGTTGGATAAACTGAAGAATGCTTTGCCATCACATGGCGATCATCATTCACAAAAATTCGCATTGGACGCTGGAAATGTGAAAACTGCACTAAAAATGATGCAAAGAGACCAAGCAACCCACCACTCATCATTCAAGCTCCAAATGGTGCTCTCCATCACTCACATAAAATACAACTACATGAATACAACTGAAGGACCAAGAAGGGAAGACACCAAACTTAGTTGTTCTCCCCAGGCAGAGGGAGGAACAGGACAATTTCTGTACTTCTATACTACAGTAGTCCCCCCTTATCCACAGGGGATACACTCCAAGACCCCCCAATGGGGGTCTTGCCCCCACTTGCCTGACACCGTGGATAGTACTGAACCCAACATATACTATGTTCTTCCTCCACATACACGTGTATTGATAAACGTTTAATTCATAGACATAGTAAGAACTTAACAACCACTAAAATAGAACAATTACAATAATATACTGTAATAAAAGCTATGTGAATGTGGTCTGTCTCAAAATAATGTGCCGTACTCACCCTTCTTCTTCTTGTGATGAAGTGATGATGATACAATGCCTACGTGATGAGATGAAGTGAGGTGAATGACGCAGGCATCGTGACGGTGTGCAATTTAAAATATAGGAACTGCTTATTTCTGGAACTTTTTTATTTAAAATTTTTAGACCGCGGTGGACCGCAGGTAACTGAAACCGCGGGAAGTGAAAACGCAGTTGGGGGCGGGGGGACTACTGTATCTGAATGATTATGACACTTATTATTTGATAATTCAAAAATTCTAAGAGAAAATGATAAAAGAATCAAATTCTTTGGGGGAAATGCTACAAACATCTTTGTACATAAATGAATATCTGTAATCAAAGAAAAAAACGTTCTTACCATTTTCACTTCTTTTTTCTGTAGTGTATGGAAATCAAACTTTTGCTTATCTTTTCAAATTGTGACAGATTTCCTTGGTGTTATCAATACTTCAACTATCTATAAAACCAGAAAATCTTTTTAGTTTCAAGTATTTCGCATGCGCACTCACTTTAGCAGCCAGATACTTGGCAGTAAGGACACCACAAGCCGGGTGCTGGTGGCTCATGCCTGTAATCCTAGCTACTTGGGCAGCTGAGATCAGGAGGATCACAGTTCAATGCCCGCCTGGGCAAATAGTTCTCAAGACCCCATCTCAAAAAAACCAAAGCAAACTGATTAGAGGTGTGGCTCAAGCAGTACAGGGCTTGCTGTGCAAGCACAAAGACCTGGGTTTGAAACCCCAGGCCCACCAAAAGAGAACATTACACATGCTGCCTCACCATGGAGCAGGCTCAATGTAGCAGGACCCATCTCTATTTCCAAGTAACTGCTGCCAAAGTAAGATACCAAATAACTATTTACATGCTTCTGAAAATGAAAACAGCTGTTTTCCAGAAGCCAGGTCTGACTTTAGGCCCAGACTCAGAACATTTTTGCTTTCTTTTCTATTCTTTTCATCATTTCTTCACATACAGTATGCAAATTTGGGGGAGGGGCAGTGCTTGGATTAAATGCAAGGCCTCACACATGCTAGACATGTGCTCTATCACTGGCTAAATCCCCAAGCACACCAATTTTTTTTCTTTTTTTGGGGGGGGGTTTTGAGGGTGAGGGGGTAGGGGGAGGTTTGAACTCGCAGCCTCCAAATTGCTAGGCAGGTGCTCTAGCACTTGAGCCATTTCACCAGTCCAAGTATGCCAATTTTTATAACTGTAAAGTAGGGCTGTGGGGGAGTAGCGCAGTGGCAGAACATGTACATCAGGCCCTAGTTTCCACCCACAGGTCCAAAAAACAGAATGTAAAACATACAAATAGTAACGAGCCTCCAAAAAAATGTTACAGGTATATATAAATCTTGGTGCTTACAGTGCGGGGTGGCATACACCTATAATTCCAACACTGGAGAGACTGAGGCAGGAGGATCGGTTCAAGGCTACATAGTCAGACCCTGTCTCTAAAACAAACAAAACAAAAAAAAAGAAATGGGAAGAGTACTGGGCCTTAGAGGTAATGCAGAGAGTGACAGCAGGTATGTGATAAGACTGAAGGCCTAAAAAGGACTTCTGTCACTTGGAAAGTCAAGAACCTTCAGGAAAAGCTAACAGGCCTCAAAAGCAAAAGGGCGTCAAATGGATATACCTTGGCTGGCTCAAATCTAGGGAGGCTGACACTGAAATGCACATCAGAAAGTCTTCAGGACAGAAGTAGCCATAATTACAATTCCGGACTCTAAATAACATGCTGGCTACAACCTACTCAATTTCCATTCTGGCAACAGTCTGCCCAGACTGAAATCTTCCAAATGAGTAAACAACAAGGCCCATCCACATGGTGTGCACCAAATCAATCTGCCTGCCTCCCCACAATCACGGCCAGCTAGCCCCTTCCATCTACACCATTTATGAGCCAGACAGCACATCCTGGAAAGGTATGAGCTTCAAGGACAAACTTAGAAATGGTTGGCCAAGCCAGAATTTTCCACAGTGCTTCATGACTTCCTAGCAACTGGAATTGCGAATTTCAAAGTTCTAAAGTTAAACCTAAGAGGAAAATAGTGGATGACATCCCTGCAGAGCTAAGCAATAGGTCACGGTACGTCCTATGAATGAGAGAAACGGAGGGTGGGGGAGCGTGGGATGGGACAGAAAGGCTGGTCTCAGACTTGGCTACTTGCTGTGACTGGGCTCTTGGTGAGACACGTGGATTGACACCCAGGTGAATGTTCCACACAGATCTGAGCCTGAAACTCTTGTGTGCTCAGCTGCTAGTTGGCCTTGAACAGTTTCTGTGGAGCTTTCTTCTCACACCAGAGACATGTTGGTGGCCCCTCTACCCTCTGGAGGGAACTGAACACCAAACAAGTCAACCTACATAAAGCACGTAACACAAATCTCATGAACCCTCAAAAGTGGGAGCAGCCAGGTGCTGGTGGCTCACGCCTATAATCCTAGCTACTCAGGAGGCAGAGATCGGGAGAATTCATGTTTGAAGCCAGCCCAGGCAAACAGTCCTCAAGACCAAACTCGTAACAACTTGTTAGTTGAACAAAACCCATCATAAAAAAAAACAAAAAACAAAACAAAACAAAACAAAAAAATGGCTGGTGGAGTGGTTCAATGTATAGGTCCCATGTTCAAACCTCAAATTGTACCAACTTCTATTCTGGCAAGGTCTCCGTGACCAGGCGCTGAGAATGAGCAAGCTGTGTGTCCAAGTGCATCCTATATTAAGGAATTACCATTTATCTAGGAGTAAATGATACTGTGATTGCGTTTGAATAGGATGACTTTTCTATTTGGTCAATACATATTTCAGATAAATTTATGAATAAAATAAGAGGTTGAAAATTTAAAGGATGAAACGAGATCGTAAAACATTAAGCCAGGCATGGTAGGACATGCCTGTAATCCCGGCACTGGGGAGTTGGAGGAGGAGAATTGTGAGTTCGAAGCCAGCCTGGGCTACATAACAGACCCTATCTCATCCCCCACCCTACCCCCCAAGAAAGACTATAAAATGTTGATAGCTGTTGAATCTGGAAGATGGATATACTGGAGTTCATTTCTGCATAACTGAAAAGTTCCATGACAGTTTATTTTCTTTTAAATGCATAATTAAGCCAAAGCTCAGAAAACCAACCCAAGCCTGTTTTCTGCTAGGGACAGGAAATACCTGTGTGCTGTCACCCAAGTGCAGTGTCAGAGCCACCAATCCCACCCTTATCTATGCTGCAATATCATCAATCTGATCACGACAGCCGCTGTTTAAAACCGTATTTATTTATTAAACAAGTATTTGTCACATCTTTTCTGTGCCAGGCACTGGGCTAAATGCTGGAATAGGCACAGTGACAGACTAGTCCCCTGTTCTAAGGATACAGCCACATAAGCATACTCTAAAAGAGAAAATCTTTTCCCCCAACTCCAGGAAGGTGCCAGGAGCCAATGCTTCATCGTGACCTCTTCATTTCAAAGCCTTGTCTCCAACCACAAATACCAAATGCAGAGATTTCACAGCAAGGCTAAGACCTTTCCATCTAGGGGTCACAACAAATGGTAGTCTAAAATGAGCTCCTAAGAGAAGTGGCTGACTGGGTGCCTGACACAGGAAATATACCATGAGGTAGGTCACACTTAGTGTCACAAAGCACTGAAGCACTGTATAGTTAAGGCAGGTTCCCAGAGGACATGGCAGCTCACTTGCGAGGGCTCCCACTGGCTCTGTTTGCGACAACCAAGAACCAAAATGAATAACACTTCCAGTCATACGAAGTTCTAGAACAGGCAAAACTAGTGAAGGCTGGAAAAAGTTCAGAACAGTACTTGGGGGCCAGGCACCAGAGGTTCACACCTGTAATCCCAGCTACTCAGGAGGCAGAGATCAGGAGGATCATGGTTCAAAGCCAGCCTGGGCAAATAGTTCATGAGACCCCCCACCTCGAAAAAAAACCTATCACAAAAAATGGCTGGTGGAATGGCTCAAGGTGTAGGCACTGAGTTCAAACCCCAGTACCACCCAAAAAAAATTGCTGGCATCTAGCTGGTGCTGGTGGCTCACGCCTGTAATACTACATATTTGGGAGGCAGAGATTAGCAGGATCAGGGTTCGGTGCCAGCGCAGGGAACTGGTTCAAGAAACTCTCTAAAATAACCAGAGCAAAATGGAGGTGTGCTTGCTTTACAAGTATGCAGTCCTGAATCCAAACCCCAGTCCCACAAAAAGAAGAAAGAAATTACTGGCATACTCAAGATCTATTTGCTTTTAGAAGAAACAAATCACTGGCATATTCAAGGTCTAGTTCCTCTGCACTAAGGAAGCAGAGGCAGAAGGATCTAGTATGAAGCCAGCGTGGGATACATATTGAGACTATGTATGTGTGTACTCAAGCATGTATAAATAAATTAAGTGACTGAGGGATGAACAGAACCTACAGTTAATGGATAACATAGGTATAGTTAAGTTTCAACAGCACAATGGAGAATGAGTTTACAGGTAGATGCTCCCTGTAAACTTGTCCCCAACATTACAAAATGTTACAAACATAATTACAAAAAGGCCTCAACACATTAAATTTATACAAGTCCATGTGCCCATAAAGATACTTTAAAAAAGGGAAAATGATTTGCTATTGTACTCTGAAGTTGTCAGAAGCAGGATCACAGCTCACTTCCAACTGACACAGGAACCCCCTAAGAACACTATCTGCCAGGCGGTGGGTATGGGATCTGGTAGAAAACCACACTTCACTACTCTGGAATGATTCACTGGGTCAAAATGCCACCCCATTCAACATGCCACAAGACAGCCCACACACACCCCCAGTATACTTGTCTTCACACTTGAGTCCTGCATGTAGGTTTCAGTCTGCCATCTTCACTGCTGAAGAGAAACATGAGCATGCCTTAGCAACAGTAGGCTGCCTCACTTCATCCTCTGTTCTGCAAAGCAGGCTCACATCAGGACCACTGAGTTGACTCAGTGGGCTCCATCAGGCTGGCTCTGATCACCACACCTGGCCTGCCTATGGTCCACTCATCCCTGACAGTCTTCCACTAGACCAGACTATGGTGGCAATGTCTCCTGATTCAGGTAGGCAAAGCAGTGAAAGGACTAATTTTGTCATCTGCAACCACCCTTTAATGTCCGGAGCTATTCTTCCTTTGCAGGGCAACAAATAAGCCTCAAGTGTTGTCATCTGAGTCCAGATGTTATCCAAGACAGATGCCCTGGTCTCAAACACCAGACAGTGTATCTCATGAGCTGATCCAGGAGTCTTCACAGTGAGCAGAAACCTGCTTTCCATGAGATTCTTCAGAATGAACAACGCTGGCAACAGGCCCACAGCACCCACACTACACAGAACACTCCCCTGCCCCTTACCAACCTAACTTTACACATTTCGTTTAAGGTGCAACCATGGTTGTGAGTGCAACCAGCCTCTCTAAAGAGAAGGCACC